TGGTGTCCCTCAGCCCGCAGGCCTTCGGGGAGGGCGGCAGCCCGCTGGAGGAGCTGGCCCTTCGCGGGGCCCTGCGGGACCACGGCGCCCTCCTCAGCCTGGCCGCCATGCTGCAGTCCGGCGCCCTGCGCAACCTCAGCCGCCTCGAGCTGGCCGACAACGGGCTGCTGCTGCTGCCCGCCGGCATGTTCACGGCCCTTCCCGCCCTGCGGCAGGCTCCCTGGTGGGGCTGCGGAACGTTTCCTTCCAGGGCCTGGGCCAGCTGCAGAGCCTCAACCTCAGCGACAACTCCCTAGGAGTGCTGAGGAACGGCACCCTGGCCCAGTTCCGCAGCCTGCCCTCCCTCCGGCGCATCGGCCTGGGCCGCAACACCTGGGTCTGTGACTGCGCCATCGAGGACCTGGTGGCCTGGCTCAAGGAGAGCGACCAGGTGGAGGGCAAAGAAGCCCTGACCTGCGCCTACCCCGACAAGATGCTGGGCAAAGCCCTGCTGAAGATCAACGGCTCAGACCTGAACTGCTCGGTGCCCGTAGACCTGCCTTCCCAGCTACAGACTTCGTACGTCTTCCTGGGGATAGTCTTGGCTCTCATTGGGGCCATTTTCCTCCTGGTTTTGTACTTGAACCGAAAAGGAATCAAAAAGTGGATGCACAACATCAGAGATGCCTGTAGGGATCACATGGAGGGCTACCACTACAGATACGAGATCAATGCAGACCCCAGGTTAACAAACCTCAGCTCCAACTCGGATGTCTGACAAAGCGCCACGGACGCAGGGCAGCGCACAGTAGCTATGCATGAAAAGTAGACTTAACGCTTTACCCTCATGCTTGCTTCCCTCTCCCTGGAGAAATCTCAGACGTGCTTGTATCTCGAGGGGGATATGCCTCCCTGTGATGTCAAGTTTATTTTCGTTCTTGAGACGCTGGGCAGCTGCGCATGGCGTTGGGCTGTATGTAGGAAACAAGCTGCTACTTCTTTTCCTCCTCACTCGTCTGTCCTTGTGGGAAATTTTTTTCAAGATCTCAAAAGACAAAAAAGGATTCTCTCTGATGCTCTAAAGCCACCAGAGTTTATAAAAAATTTACCGATGCAGATGCCGTTCAACAAAAGCTGCCTCAACTTTTCTGTGAAAAAAACGTTCTGTTCCTGTGTGCCAGTTTTGATCTTGTATATCCAAATTGTGATGACGATGATTCCATTTCATAGACTACCTTGAGATTTAAAAAAACAAAGAAACTCCTTTTAACAACTCCTCTGTTACAAAGAAGAAAATTGAATAGTGAGCATGCACGAATACTTTATAGTTTTACATGTTAGGAAACTTACGATCTCAGTAAGTCTCTTACTATTTTGTAAAGTTATTTTTGATTGCAGTTTACATGAAGAGAGAGGGTTTTTTGTACAAACTGCATCTAAACTCCATCTGAACTGTTAAATTCAATAAACAGTCTTGCAAGAACTGTTGTGTTGAAGTTTGCTCTTCGATGAGAAACGTATGGACATCTAAGAACGTGGATAGCTTTATAGTCTCCGAATTAATAGCCCTGCAGTAGTAATCTGAATAAAATTTTGTACAAATGTGTAGTTTAGAGACTTAAATGTTTGACAGTTTTGTGAAATATGCTAGGAGAGTTACACCGACCAACAACGAGAGCAGCTTCAATTGGCACAGAACCCCCAGCCTGCTCTCTCAAAGCAACTGCAAAACATCGAGACAGATGCTGGGGTCCACCTTGCTGGGAAGGTACAAGCTGGCAGAATTTTCTTAAGGTCTCCTTTACCAAGTTAAAAAAAAAAAAAGAATTCAAATTAAATTGTAAGCTGAAGAAAATTTTACCTGAATGGAATTGTTTATTATGAAAAAAACATATTTTCATGTCCTGAACTAAATTAAATGCAGCTCAGTCTTGTAGTCGGTGAGCTTCAGGCTTGTAAATCAATGCAGCACTTATTAAATTAAGTGCTTACTGGTTCATTTTGAGCTCTTGGTACTCCTGAAGTTCTGTAGCAATCCACATCGAGTAACTTGAGGGAACTTTACATTTATCTTAAAGCTTATAACAGGTGCATTTCAGTATTGTATGTTACTCATGCTTATTACTTGCTTGGGAATGCATTTTCTTGTAAATAGGTAAAGCATGCAAAGAAAAACTTAAAAAATGCATCATTGATTATGCAACTCTGATGACATATGACAAAGTTAGCAAGAACCTTCCAATGGCCACCAATCATTAATGCACTTTTTCTAATCCATTTATAAATTCTTAATGGAAAAAAATACACCAACTGTAAAAGTGTGATGTGAATTGGTATCTGTCAGTATATCGGTGGAGCTTTTTCCATGGTCACTGTTACTTGAAGCTCTCCAGCATCTCTAAAATGTTATGAGTTACTGGCTAATTCTCTTCGCTTTCAAAAGTGACAGTTTTCTCATAGATTTATGCCTTTGGTAAGAGCTCATAAATATAGAATAGTCCTTAGAGTATCAGAAGAAATATAATCTATTTTGGGCATCAATATTATTCAAATGCGTTTTTCTCTCCTTGCAACTTCAGACAAAGCAAGTAGCACAAGTTGGTACAGACTGATTTTTCTATTGCTTTAAACTGGTTTTATTTAATAGCGTGGGTTTTTTTTAATGTAGTTTTGTACATTTCCCCTCAAAAGTAAAAAAAAGAACTAAGTATAATTAATGCTTTGATAAATCAGTGTGTTTTACAATTAATGTAAGTTAAGTGGTAGCCTATTTCTCCTGCTGTAATTTGAATGTATTGGCAATATTGGGCTAACAGGGTATGAATTAAGTTTGTGGATTCTTCAAAAGCAGACTGCTGGTCTGAACGTTAGCTGCCCTTATTTTAAGAATAATGTAGAAACTCCCAATGTGAATGACTATTACTGTGCAACTATGCAAACCATTCATACTTGTTATACATAAGATTTATGCATATGTATTTATGTTTATGCAAGAAGCTGGAGTTTGCTATAGCTATGCAGTGTGCTTTGTTGTATTGGTCATTTCGGAGATTATCAACTTACACTTATTTGTACAGTGCCAAGAGGAGTGGAGCGTCGTCTTTACTTAAGATGCTCCTGTAATATAATAGATAAAATGTGTACAAACCAAGCCATTTCTTGGGCAATTTCTTGGGGTTTGTTAACGGATACTTTAAAGTAACTACAGTAAAAGCAATTACCTGTGATGTGTTAATGTAACGGCTATGCATTTATAGAGCTATGTAAGGATAGGCAACGACTTTAATCGCAGTCTCTCACCAAGGGACCGAGTATTTGTATAGTGAGCAAGTGTAACTGTTGTACTACACCTATTATTCTAAAGATTATTATTTTTGTATCATAGAAAGTCAATGTAATAGGATTTTATCAGAGACCTGGTGACGGCTACTTTAAAATAATTTTTGCCATTTGCTTCCGTGTGTATTTATTAGGATGTAACAAATTAGCATGTGTCAGTATTGTGTTGGATAACGTTCTGCTACGGTGTTTGACCAACAGTGAATGCTTTGGTGTTTTGTGCAATGCATTATTTGATCTTAAATCCCCTTCCCTAAACAGTGCTTGAAATTTGTTTTCCTTTCCTTTTAAAAAATAGTTAACAGTGGTACTCAGAAGATATTTAAAAAGTAGCTCCCAAAGTGCTTCAGAACTGGGTTAAAAACTATATATTTAAAATAACATTAGTTTAAGGGTTCTTCTGAAGCACATTTTATAATCTTACTCTGCTTTGACACCTGAAATTCCAATTGATTACTATTTCCAGAGCAGCTTAATTAGCAAGGCTGTTTTATTCATTCATTCTTCAATAAAACACGTGCAGTACTAAATGCCTCTAAAATGTGTTTTGTATACATAAACCCCCAGAGTTCTGCATGACACAGTTGTCACTGATTTTTCGTAGAAAACGTCTAGACTGAAGCAGTGGGCAAATCTTCAGGGAACACTGCACAGCTAAGAAGGAGAAAGGATGGCTTGTCCCAGGTTCAGCTGCTTTCTTAAAACTAGTTCTAGTTGTAAAAAGCTTAAAATTTTCTTAGAAGAATAGCACAAGGAATTGACATAGTTTTAATATATTTTCCTGAAGTACTTTGGATAAGCGCTGTTGCCAGGTAAGAAACAGAAAATTCCCCAAATCTCCCTTTATCCGAGGTAGCTTTTTTATATTAGATCATCCGACTTTTTTTTTTTATTATTTTTTTTAATTTCAGCAAGCTTTATTGGTAAAAGCTTGCTGAAATTGGTAATTTTGCCAATATTTGGTAATATTGCCAATAATTTTGCCAATTGGTAATATTGCCAATAATTTTGACATCCAAAAAGTGATTTGAAATTTTGCACAACTGCTTTAAATCTTTTCATTTGGGGTAATTTACCTTTTCAGAACTGGTGACAGTCCCCGGTGACATGCCAGCTAGCAAAGCAGTCTGTTCAGACCCATACTCGGTTGTTGACTGAGGTGTCACTGAAGACAGGCATGGCAAAATATTCAAAATATGACTGTGCTAGGATCCCAACTCTCATTATTCTACCAGCATTTTCCCAGTGGTATACTCTGCTCTTCATGCATCTGCATAATTTCTTCTTTGCCTCATTTTCTCAAGAAATCCATTAAAAGGAGTATCATGAATCTGCACAGGTAGAGAAATCGTTCCGACTGCACCTGCGTTTTGAGGTTTAGCGTCTTCATTTCCCTTTAAGCCTTAACGTGAAAAAGAGCCTTTGTCGAAGTGGACAGAATGAAAATTTGATACGCGCTTTTTCTTTCTCTTTAGCAGCTGAATGTTCAAGAAGAACCATTCATTCTCAGAATGTGATGAAGGAAAATAGCATTTGGTAAGAAAAACACTTCAGTTTCAAGCTTCCAGATGACATTGATATTCTATGAGAGAAGGTTGAAGGGAGAAGCTTGTGAAGGAAATGCAGATAGCCCTTTGTAATGGGTCAGCACTGGAAATCACAACGCTAGCAATAAGAACAATTGCCAATTGATTGTGTGTGTTATACTATGGTCATGTTTTATGGATAGAGCTCTAATTTCTTCCTGTTGCTATAAATAGGAACATTTCACTAACAAGTAAGAGTCACGTCCTATAATATTTGTAATGCAGGTGTCTCTGCTGTGAGATTTTTGTGGGATATAATAGAAGATTGAATTTAATTCACTGCACACTGACTTAATAATTATGACTAGATCAGGCCCATAACTTAATGTTCCTTTTTTGCAAACGTGTTGCTTACTAGTTGAAAAGACCTTGACTTGGAATCAAACAGTGAAAGCCCACCAAGGAAGAGAGAAAGCCATCATTTGTGGGGGTGTAACATTTACTAGATATTTCACATGTGCTTAAAAAGGAGACATAAACCATATGGGAGCAGAGGGTCCTGTGTTGATACAAAAATAAGTGTACTCTGCTACCTTCCTGCGTCAGTCCAGCAGAAGCAGAAAAGTGGTGCTTTGTACCAATACAATAAACCTCCTCCCTTGGAAAAAAAAAAAATAGGAAAGAATACAGGTTTGCAGTATAAGTATGTCCTTAAAAAGGGCTTTTGCTTTCTCAACAACGTTAAAATTTACATCTTGTCACATCCTTGAAAAACCTTGCTATGCCAGAAGTCATCTGCCACATAGGCAAAGCTTGAAATCAGGCCTTGCATTCCCAATGTTAGCCTAAATAGAAAAAGGGAACTACTAAGAAAATTAAAATGGTACTTTAGACAGTGTATTCGTGTTGCGGT